ATAGACTCCTCTATTTCAGCTTCCCCAGGGCAGGGCTAAGCTGTTAATCCAGGGACTAAATAGCTGTGGGAATACCAGTATGGCCAGTGAGACCCCCAGCAGCTGTTAGTGTCCCCTGCCCTGCAGACACCTGCAGTCCTCCCTGGCCCAGCATGGGGCTGTGGTGGCAGAAGGAGGCCAAGTCCCTGCGGAGCACGTCCCCATGTGCATTGTGTTGTGTTGTGGGTGTCTCCATGCTTGTGTGGACCAGTTGAATGGGGCAGCTGGACCGTGGAGTGTCTGTGAGCAGCTGGGTCTGGCCTCCTGCCTCTGCTGTCTGACCCGGGTCTTCCTTCTCCCTCTGCAGGCTGTTCAAGGAGCAGAGCGAGGACCTGGTGGATCATGTCCCAAAGGAGCGGGAAGTGCTGCTGGAGAGGGAATTCCAGAGGGTCACCATCTCTGGGGAAGAGAAGTGTGGGGTAAGGTTGCCTGGCCTGGGGGCCCTCATGGGAAGGGGCTAAGGCTTTCTGAGGTTACCCTTCCCCCCTCTTCCCAGAAGCCCAGTTGCAGGAGCCAGTCAGTTCCTGCTGCTGGGAGCTGACACCTGCCTGGGGAAAGCCCAAGATATTGTGTTGCCTATGTTTCACTTCCCCCCCACCCAAGCCAGCCAGTGTCCTGGCCTGGGGCAGGATTGGGATGAGGAGTTGGGCCTGCGCTCCACGCTCTGCTCTGCCTGCCTGGCCCATCCTCCTGGCTGAGCATCCTTTCCCTCTGTGGGGTGCCCCTGCTGTGTTCACACGGCATCTCCCTGCCCTTCAGGTTCAAGCCCAGGCCTCTGTTCCAGGTCCTGTTGTCTTTAATTTAACCTTTTACCTGTCAGCCAGAGCTTCTGCTCTCTTCCCATAGTTAAAAGTCCAGCCCTATTTCTCTACCTTTTGTATCTCTGGTGTCCACATGTTCCTGGCATTTGCAGTCAGATAGACCATCCCAGACCTATTTCTGGGGCTTGTTGTCCCTGATGTCCTGTCTGCTCTGTAGCCGACTGGGACTGGAATCCTCCACTGTCTCTCCTCCCTCCAGGTGCCCTTCACGGACTTGCTTGATGCAGCCAAGAGCGTGGTGAAGGCGCTGTTCATCCGGGAAAAGTACATGGGGTTTTCCCTTCAGAGCTTCTGCAAGACCACTGCCCGCTACCTGCAGGACCTCTCTGAGAAGCCTCTTGAGACACGGGTCTATGATGAGATCCCAGAGACCCCTGTGGCTGCAGGTGAGGCCGGGGTTGTTAGGCAAGCCAGGGGAGAGGGTGTGCAGCAGTAAAATCGTGAGACGCCCTTGTGCCTGGGGCATGATGGCAGGGATGAAAGGGATGATTCCAGGTAGGCCAGTGGGTGGGAATGGGGTTGAGCCAAGCTGGAAGTCATGGGCAGCTGGTGCCACCTTAGTCGGGGGGGCATGTACTCCTCCTAGAGAACAGTCAGCAACTGGGGGGGGTGTCCCCTGCAGCCGATCACTGTGGCCGCTTCTGGAAGTGACTGTGGCTGCTTCTGGGAGTGCTGTGGCACTCCACTCCCCAGCCAGTGCTTGCAGGGGGGGCACTGGCACTCCCACCTGCCCCCCCGTCTATTGCCTAAGCAGTGAGCGTGACTGGTCAGGGAGTGCACCGGTGCTCCTCAGGGCGTGCACCCCCGTACACTCTTTATGCGTCGCTACTGATGTAGCCCCTAAAGTGTGCTTTCTTTATTATAGCATATTCACTAGAGAAGGATGAAACATGAAATTAACTATCTTTGATTTCATCCAAAACAATACAAAATGGAA